CCAGGAGAGAACGAAGCAAGGCGATGATGTGTATCGGCGTAGGATATTCGGGCCGCTCCTGAACACGGTGCCTTGCCGTGTGGTATTTGACGACGCCAAGCCTCTGTCGCAATTTCTGCAGCACATGCAAGCGTCATCCCAAGCAATGTCGGCATACGCCCATGCGAGCTTGACGGACATTGCGCAATGGGTTGCATTAGACCAACCACTTTTTGATACGTTGTTTTCGTTCCAGCAGTGGCCACCGCGACGCACGTTGCAAGGCGTGGACGTGATCGAGTCGTGGAAGGAACGGTATCGAACAAGCCAACTAGCACAACACTTTACGTTTGAGCTGCAAGTGGAGCCAACGTCGACGATGGACGAACTCGTTGCGATGGCGAGTTACTTGCCGGACAAAATGTCCTGGTCTCAGGCACGGGCGATACTGGACGAATTTTGCTTCACCTTGACCAGCCTTTGCGATTCTCCGTCGACGTCGTTGACTTTGTGGACGCTCAGCTCCCATCAGGTGACTGCCATCAACAGCGCTTCATTTGGCCCCGAGCTGGAACAACCGTTCGAGTTGCTGCACCACGCGTTCGAAGCCCGGGCGTTGGAGCACCCCGACCTCCGAGCGGTCGAGTTTGATGGGCAATGGTTGTCCTACGGCGACTTGAACGCCCAAGCCAACGCGGTTGCACGTCAGTTGGCTGCTCTCAACGTCGGTGTTGGCAGTCGCGTGGCTGTCATCATGTCGCGGTGTCTGGAGTTTCCCATCGGGTTGCTGGCGACTCTCAAAGTGGGCGGCTCTATGATGCCTCTCGACGTGGCCTTTCCTGCCAAGCGTCTGGACATGATGCTGGCAGATGCCGGAGTGCGGGTTGTGGTGTCGACGATGCGCCACGAGGAAGCGATCCAAGGGTTGGCGTTGGAATCGATGACTGTCGTGAACATTCCGCTGGCCCAGCGTGCTGTCCGAGATGAGGGCTTCGTGCCGTCATCCAGGCAAGTGGCAGTCCCTACGTCGGAAGCGTACGTTGTGTA